AGAATTGACTTTTTGTCATTGTGGGTCCGTGCACCTGGTTGCTGCAAGTTCAGACAAATGCCTGTGCCAACACCATGGAAAGCAGCTGGAGTGGAACTGTCCTGATATGCCATCTTAACCAAATCACCTGCTTCGCAGCCCAGAGGCTGAGGAACACAAAAGGATCACAACTCATGTTATGTCCACCTTGTGGGACACAGTCTGGCCTGCTGAGCCCCTCATCCGGGCTGAGCAGATTCTGCACAGGCCTGAGCCCAGTCTGGTTTTCCTCTCATGGTAACCAGAGTGGAGAGAACATGCCTGGGTGTCACCCCAAAGGGAAGATGGCATCTGTTTTTAGCAGCTACAGACTGTTGTTAAGGTGCAGCCACAAGTCTCTTGATTAACTATGGGGCCAGCTAGGGAAGAAGGTAATGTAGTCTGAATCCTGTAAAGGAGAGATGTGTGGTAGGGTGGGAAGGATACTGAACACAAACTGGTCTTTACTTGTTGGTCCTGTGTTTTCCTGGAGGTCTTTGAAGACAGGAAGGATGCATAGCTAGAGTCTGAGCTCATAGTGGAGGGGTCAAGGAAGAGTAAAGGTGGCAGTCACAAGGTTGAAGATGCAACATTGGGGGGTTGTTTGGGTCTGTACAGCAAAGAGCAAAGTGTAGCTTGCTGCACGTCACCAGCTGACACCGGCTGTGTCAGCCAGCCTTTGACTGGCTCACTGGGATGCCAGCAGCACCCGGAAGTTTGTATTTTGGTGGCCTAAGGTAACCCTGCATACTGGCCACAGAGCGAGCGCACTTGAGGAGACTGTTTGTTGGGAGCTGCCGGCATGCAGTGACTTGTGCATGGTGTGTTGGTGGTTTGTCACGAGACTGAACACAGTTCAAGTCTTTAATAAACACACCATGCTCCCCAGAAAGTTCTCTGGGGCAGCTCTGCTCTGCATATTGCTCAGAAAACACGGGATCGGAATAAAAAGACCCATTACATGTGGTTTTTAAGTATTACTGCATATGCCAAGGACCATTCACAGTCTGTGTGGAACAGAGGCAAAACACCTAGGAAGACACGGGCAGCATTTGTAGAATGGAGAAATAATTCTGCATTAGAAGGGTGTTGAAATCCTTGTCTCATGCAGTGCAGATCACATTCAGCAGAACTTTATGGCCATCTGCTGGTGAAGCCCTTGTTGGTGTTACACTTTGCAGACTTTTTTGCATCAGAGAGACAAGCACTCGGCCATGTGTGAGTTGAAAAGATGTATGTTTTCACTTCTAGCTGGAAATAACACAACTGAATTTTTAGAAATCATCCTAAAAGCTCATGTTGGTTTTACTTTAATTGACTACAGGTGTTGCGGCTGCTCGTCAAGGCAGCCAGCAGTCTCCCAAGATTCCTGTTAAGTGTACCAATTTCTACACTAACATAGAAATTACACTGGTTTTAGAAATAATGAACTTCAAATAAATAAATGTCAAGCTGACAGGTCAGAACTCAGTTTTCTTGTTTGTTAATTTATCTTTCAAATTTGATGTATCAGCAATAATTTGATACATCCTTAAATTTCACTGAGCTGTTATGTGTGGAGCCAGTCGTATTGTTAAAGCCCACCTTGAGGCTTAAAGGCTACCTGGGATCTTGACCATGAACAGGAGAACTGACACTCCTGTTCCTCTGGGAGGAACACTGACACACTCTTCCTCTGAGCACCCTAGTAGCTCTTGGCTGATGGCAGGTTTTCAGGTCTTCCCTCTGTGCAATCTGTGAGGGACACAGATTTGAGAGAGGCCACTACAATATGGTTTACTTGGGTTTTGGCTTAAGGGCAGAGGGGGAGAGTGTTGTAATTTTTTAGATAGTGTTTTTTCTTTATTTTATAGAATTTGAAATACATTTTAAACAAAAAGGAAAAAGAAGTCAGTTAAAAGAATAAATACCTACGAGTTCCCCGACACATCCATGCTCAAAGTCCTTGTCTGCCATGGTGCTGTCAAACAGTAGTTTCTGGAACCCTGTGCTGGCCAGAGCCACCTGGCAGAACCTCCATGGCCTTTGAAAGGCACAAAACATGGTTCTGAGGACTTCTTTTAGTTCTGTGTGGTCAGAGAGAGTGTTTTGTAGAAAATATTTGAAAAAGAAGATGTCCCTTTACTGTTGCATGGCAAAGGGAAAGAACATCAGTGAATCAGCTGGAAGTTACTGTGGGAGGGACTAACCTGAGGAAGCTCATAAAAGCACTTAGTGCTCTCTTTAGGGCTTTTTGTGGTATCTCAGTTTTTAAAAAATTACACAACTTTTGATAGACTGAAACAAAGCTGGTGCTATCAGGTAGATTCTGGCTGCTTTTCCACCAGGGAGCATGTCTGCGCTATGGGATCCCCTTGTGCCACAGGAGTTAGAGTGGCAGAGGAAAATAACCTTGGATGTACACTCTCACTTGCCATGTGAGTCTCCTCTGGTGGTTAGTTTATCATTTAGCCTGCACTGCTGTAGAGGGAAGGCACGAGCTTACATTTGCTGGTTCTGGCTGACAGCAGCTTTTCTCCTTGGAGTGCTGAGCAAGTGATGACTGAAGCTCTCAGGAGTTAGTGACAATGCACATTACCTTCTGTGGCTTATTCTGATACTCTCCCTCCTATGGAATAGGTGGGGTCCTTCACTTTCTAGAAAGGGAGCAATCCAGTTAAGAAGCAGCAGCATTGGTCATGTGCCCCATTCACGGCACTGTTTTATGCCACCCTCTCCTGTATAAATACCTGGGAAAGCACAGAGCAGTTCCCAGCAGTGAGATCACTTTCTTGTATGTGACAAATAGCTTTTATGAGGTGCTGACTCTTCTCAAGGTTCATTTTGTCTCCAGGCTGGAAATTACAGCAGCATTATAAGCTTGATCCTCCTCCCATTTAAATGAGCTGTACTATCCAGGATCTGAACACTCTGTTACAAAATAGGCTTTTAAGACAGCTCCTAAATCCCATGCAGTGAAAATGATGCACAAATACTTATTTTTAAAGATAAAGATCTTCTGCTCTTGAGCACTGGATTTTGTATGTTCAGTATTCAGCTTTAACAGTTGATTTACACATTCGCTTTTATTTCAGCTGATGGGATGTTTAAAAAAAACCAAACAGCTGGAGTAGTGAGACCATTCTCAGTGAATCATCTGACCCAAGACTTTTATTTGCTCTAAGATGCAGATGCTTAAACGCAATTCCTAAACCCGTTCTGTGAGAGCTAAATATATTTGTATTCCAGTCACATAGTTAAAAGTGCTAATGTGTCTTACTCTCTTGCGGACAACTTTTCACTAGTTAATGTTGATATTACAGCCTTTTGTCCCCTTCTTTCTGCATTTCAGAAATTGTCTGCACATTCATTTACACTCATCATATTCTAGGCAAAAATAATTAATCTGAAAAAATCTCTTTCCTGAGGGTGGAATATGAATATATATGAAGTGTTAAGAGAGAAAGAGGATTGTTGGAAAGAAAATACCTTTTTCTTTTATAATAATGCTTTAAATTAGGTTTGTACTGTAAAAATATTTAAACAAAACGAAAAATGAGTAATTTTTACTACCATTAATTCAAGGGTTAATGCATGCAGAGAATTGGAACATCTGTGAAATCACATGTTAATTGTGTGAGATGCTTTATGTAAAGTTTTAACCCAAAATAAATAGTCCTCAGCAAATTCTGGAAATCTCTAGGAGTTAAATTTATGCTGGAACAGCTATAGCTGTAACAGTAGTGGCTGTTTGAACAAGAGGTCACAAATCAGCTTTAACACAGGAGCTTCTTAGTGAATGCATCAGCATCAGTTCTTCTTTCCAATTCCTTTCTTAGTGTGATAGCTTAACTGAAGGTTCATGCTTCTTTATATTCAAATTGATCTTAAGAGTCCAAAAGAGCTAACTAATGAATCTGTAGTTCATTTAACTTGAATGTCAATAAATCTGGGAAGCCCTAGAAATATGATGAAGACCAGTGTTGTTCCAGTACTTAAATCAGCTAAACAGGTTAGTATAACTGGGTGAACGTGATTGTTGTGCGATATAATCATGGTGAGGTTGATAAGATGATCAGTTAATAATGATTTATGGCTAGGTGGTATAATTACTAGAAGTCAGTGAGAATTTGGATCTCGTCCCACCAGCTTGACATAGTTTATCTAACCAAGCCAAATGCATTGCTGTAGCAGGCTTTTTTTCAAGTATTAGACTCAGTATGCACTGTATTTAGAATCTCAAGCAACATCAACATTATATTTTTAATTGCTTAAAACTGGGATAACTGATAGGCCTTAAGACATTTCTGTAAATGAAATATCTTTGATGAGCATTTGAGTTTCTCTGGGGATTGTTCTCTGGCCCTGTGCTAGGAAGCTTTATTTATCAGTGGTTTGAAAGGAAAATAAAATTCTTTGGCTTGCAAGTGATAGATTGAGAATTGTTAAATAAGAAAATGGAAAAATCACTGCTGCAGGGTGATATGGACCTATTAGCAGTCTGTATTCAAGCAAACAACAGGTGTTCGGCCTAGTGAGAGGATCCATAGTCCAGATCTGGGTATTGGAAACACTTTTTCATAAAAGGTTTCTGGCTTTTTATCTATTTAAAGTTGTCAAGGAGAAGTTATGGAGGCTATATATAAAGTTGTTTAGAAAACAGGGTTCAGTGAGCTTGTACTTGGACATGTGTCAAATAGAAATAGAGCTCAGATAAAGTCAGGCTACTTCATTATTGGAGCAGTGTTTCAAAGATCATGGTGCTTTTTTAGGGCAATAATAATTGCCTCTAAATCAAGACTTCAGTTATTTCATACTGCAAAATATGCTCTAGTTTAAGCACCGATTGTGTCAAATACGTGCTGTGAACTGCATTATAAAAAGAGAAATGATTAATTGTGTGTGTCATTTTTGTCGCAGTCATATGTTACAGCTGATTTTTTGGGGCCCGGGATATACACTATGCTTCTGCTTCATTTCTTTGCTTCTGTTCTGTTTTTCAGTTCAATTTCACCGTTCAGTATTGAGAGCACAAGGCGTCAGAGAAGGTCTGAGTCTCCAGACTCCAGGAAGCGACGCATCCATCGGTGTGACTTTGAGGGATGCAACAAAGTATACACAAAAAGTTCCCACCTGAAGGCTCACCGGAGAACACACACGGGTAAGACTTAGCTGGCACTGTGCACCATGGTTAAGACAAGCAGGTTCCTTTCTGCCTAATATAGGACATATTGAGCTTGTTGTCCTACCCTAAGGGCCAAAGGCCTTTATCTAAATAACAGAGATCTCTGCAAGTGCATCAGCACTGGCATTCTTGGGCAGATCAGGAGTGTCCCTGTCATCCCTCCTTGGTGGTACTAGAATGGTGTCAGCACAAACCAGACTCCTCTCCAATGAAACTAAACAGAAAAGTGGCCTTCAGGGACAACACCTACTGTGCTTCAACAAACAATGGGTGGTCATTGCTTGAGATCATCCAGAACTAGTCCAAAGACAACCCTCCAGAAGAGCATATAATGCAGTCATGAATCTTCAGCAGCGTTTTTTCACTCTACAGATCTGCTCCTGTCGAGCCACTACTTGCTTTTCTAGATGTAGCCTTTTAATACCAGGTGCTCCTGAGAGCCTTCAGTTCAACACAGGTCCTCAGTATGTCTTTCTGGAAGGCTTTAAGGAGCACCTACCCCATGCTGGAGAGGGAAGTCAGTCACTGTATGAGAATAGGTTGCACTAGATCCCTACAACAGAGGTGCTGGAGAGGTGCTTAGAGAAGCTAGATCCCATTCAGTGATGATAATACTTAACATTTAGTGAAAACCTGGTGTCCTTATTAACTCTGTGGACTGGTAGTAGTCTATATGACAGGCATGAAAGGGTAGCTGAAGCAGTGATGATGTAATAGTTGTAATTTTATTGTGGATAAACTCAGGACCAGCAATTTGAAATCATGAAGAGCAGTTTAAAAGGGGCTTGATTGGATGGCTGGAAAGGCAGTGGACAGAAAACACTCTGAATCTCAGTGCTATTCCTTACTCTGCTACTGATTTGCTTAAATTTATTGATCTCTCTGCTCTTAATGGACTTCAGCATTCTTGTAACTCTTGGAGAAAAGATGGTGTTTATCCAGCATGTAGCACAATGTTGTTCTTTGCTGAGAAACTGCTGGCACTTTTTGTGGTGTGATGTACTCTAAGGAGTATGAGATACTATTTTAAAAAATTAAGTGATGGCTTCTCCATTTCAATCGAGGCCATGTCTCCATCACTCTTTCCAATATGTCTTTTGGTTGGTAGGACTTTTGTTGAGAGGAATTCTGAACAAGGCTCCATCCTAGTACCCCCTACTAAACCAATTTCGGTAAGGTAAGAGTCCCTTCCTTATACAGCAGAAATGTTGTGGTGATCTGGAAATTTCATTACATTTCCCTCCGGGCCAGTTTTCCTGGTTTATCCATATCTTCCCATTAATGCTTGTGCCTTCTACTCTCTCATGATTTATAATTCTTGTCCTAATTCTTTTTTCTTATTTGCTATTCTTTCCCATTTTCAGTGTGGTTTTTCATCCCTACCCTTCTAATATAATTTATATACCCTTACCCTTTCACCTTGTTCTCTGTCATTCTTGTTTTACTTCTTTTATCCCAGTCTAACCCTACTCCATCCCTTTCCTTCTCTGTGCCCTGATTTCTATGTTGTTTCCTTTTCTTGCCTGTATAGCCCTTTGAGCATTATAAAGCTGTAGCAGATTCAAAGACAGAGAGCCCAACAGAGACATAAAAGCAGTAGAGTGTTTGGTTTTAACCAAAAATACCATTTATCTGCTTATACCATCGGGAAGTCACTCTTTTCTAGCCTACAAGACTTGGCAACCAGCCCAAGAGTATAAGCAATCATCGTGTAAGGAGCTGACTTACAAAACTAGATGCGAACAACCTCAGAAATGTCACACCCAAGTTAGCCCAGAAACAGAGAAGGCTCTTCTCTGCCATGACATTTTAAACCACTGAGAATTACATTTGTCGTGAGTCTGTAATTCTTCAGTGATCTCATGGGACAGATCAGAGCTTGCAGGTAATGCACCCAAATCAGCGTTAGATAGTCAACACTACTGAATCCCAGGCTGTGCACTTAGGATGCTCAAAAGTAGACACTGAAGGCTTGAAAAGGGTGTAGGTAATTACAGCTTTAGCATCTGTAGCTCTCCAGGCAGCACAAAGGGAGTTTGTCTACCTGCTGTAATTGTAGGATCTATCTCCTCAGCCTTGGTGCCCTGGCAGCTGGATGTCAGGGCTATGCTATCTGTCTGGGATCTCTGGGTAGTCAGAGGAGAGGGATTGGCACCTCTGGGGCATGTTATTCATTCTCTAGGTATACCCAGAGATTGGCTTGCAAAGGTGCTTTTCTTCCACTGCTGAGTACAGAGGAAACCCGGATACGTACCAGGCTGTTTCCTGGCTAAAATGAATCTCCATGCCAAAAGACAGCTGCCAATTTTGCAGTTATGCTGGAAGTTGGTTTATTACTTCAGAGAAAAAAAAAAAGTAACATCAAATCAAAAACCTTCAATAAATGGTCAGCTGACAACTGCTTTATATTGACATATCATCAGGCATGATGGAAGAAGTGTAGTCTAGAAGGTGAGCGCTGAATTTAACCAGTGGATCCACTGAGAAAATCTGTATCATGATGTTAAAATAAAATGCATTTTACTGAACACTTCTAAGTCTTGGTGAGAAGTTGATGTATTCAGACTTAGGTGTAGCATTGGCCATGAGTGTACTCCATGTACTAATCTCATTTTACATTTTTTATCTTGGTCTTTACTTTTGCTGCGGGCAAAAGAAGTTAATTATTCACGTATGACCCACAGTAATTAGTGCAGTTTTGGATAAGTATAAATGAAGTATGACAGCTATGCATGCAAGGGTGAGCAAGTTTCAGTACGAAACTTTCTGAGAAAAGATCACAGAAACTCAGCATTGAATAATCTGGAGGGTGTTTTTTTTTTTTTAGGCAGGCTGCTCTTGCTGACAATTGTTTACCTAAGCAGGATGTATTTGAGAACTTTAGGGTTTTTTTCATTTACTCAGTGATCTTCAAGATCTTTTCTAGTCTAAACGATTTTCTGTGCATAGCCACTAAAACATTCACAGTAGTTTGGATACAGGAGGATAAACAATGTGGTATTTTGACAGGATTGAACAACTTCGTTGGTTGGAAGGTATACTTCTTTACACCTTAATTAAAAATGGAAACAAAATAATATAAATGGTTAGAGTTGCATTTAATTCTGTTGGAATAACTCCTAGCCTTTTTAAGTATGCCCTTGTCTAGCTTCCCGATGCTTGTCACCAGTGTCCTCAAATCTTAGTGTACTGGCATGGGCAGAGAGTCCACTGGGGGGCGAACTTGAATTATGTATCGTCTCTCTGACTAGAAAAACTGCAAGTGAAACCTGTAATAGTTAGAGCATTTCATAAATCACAAGCACTGGTATTAAATTTCTCATTCTAGTATCAGCTTCTTCTTGTTGTTTTGCCATATCATCAAATAAAGCTATCAGGAGGTATCGGGTGTGATGGAGAGCCTTTGGGGCTCGCAGGCAATCTCGCAGCTCAGGTTTATCAACTCTTCCTGCAAGGAGAAACTGTGAGAAATTGGCTCACTGGAGTTGTGTTGAGTTAGTTTCTGCTTCAGTGAACTTAGAATAAAATTACTAATGTGTGACTCCACAAAGGAGTAATCTTTAAAGATGAGAAAACCAGCAGCCATGGGTTGCATTCCTGGTTTGCTTACATCTGCGTTGCACTTGGCATAGGTGGTGGTGTCAGCCTCAGGAATGGGTATGTGTAACTGCTGTTCCTATGAGGTCTACTCCCTTGCAGCCCTGCTGGGACTCCACTTCTTCAGTTTGCTGCTTTTACTTGGAAGATGGAGAAGGAAACAGCACTGTTTTATGATCTCTAGTGGCTATTTCAGACCTTTTTTAGGCAGTACTTAAGTTGCCATTGACACTTCCAGTAGGACAGCTGAGCATTACAGACTCAGTAATACTTGTTCCTTCCACTGTGTGAACATCTAAACATCTGAGAATGCTTGAGGTTAAATCCAGTTCTAGGTCATCGTGGCTATCTTCTTACCTGTTATAAGGAGAAGCCCAAAGAGTTTGAAACATTGTGTGAATCACCCTGAAGAAGTCAACAAACAAAGAAGATGCCTGCTTTGAGGTTATATAGAACATAATTTTACCATGTCTGATACACAAGAGATTATGACTGTCTCTCACCTTTATAGGATTTTCTTTTACTATAGTAGTAATCAGCATTCTGTATTTCTGTGCAACCTTATTTTAGTCATTAGTTATGAATTTCTGGAAGAATGTGACAGAGTGGCTTTCTGGGGTCAGTGGCAGTAGCAGCCTGGGACTTTCCATTTGGCATGAAATGGGAACAGTCCATGAGTGTAGGGCATTGTATATCCAGAGAAATGGCTTTGCTTCTGCCTCGGAGGAGTGGAGGAGGGCAAGGTCTGTAACTAGAGCACCTTCTGTGGGAACTTCAACTGCTGCTCCTCATGCATGAGCCCACATTGGCTCTGAATCACACCCTTGTCAGTGCTGCTGCTGCAGAAGATGGGGCTGCTTTTTCAGGGTCTTACAGAGGCAGGCTGAATATAGCCCCCAGGCCAAGTGAATTTTTTAGCGTTTGGTGCTTTTGTTCCTTGATCAACGCCTATATCATTCCTGAGAGATGAGAGCAAATACCTTTGCCACAGATGTAATGAAGCCTATTTGTCAGTGTCATGGGGTCTTCAGCAGTGTTACATGGAGACAGTAAACATGTCAGAAGTACAGATTTGTACCTGAGAAAATGACAGCATTCCCTCCTCAAGATGTTCCTTTATAGCTGGGTTGAGACACCACCCTAGAAGAAAGAGGGCTAGTGAGTACATGGGTGTTTTATTTAGTCTGTGCTTTTTCAAACATTGCATTCCTCTCACTCACTGTTGCTCCATATATTATTTTAATACGAAAGGGCCCCTGTCATTAGTCTTTGTTCACATTTTCCTTTGAGCACTTTCAGAATGGATTTAAGAAGTCAGAGGCACCAAAAAAGTTATTTTTGTTCTGTATGCTTTTAAACTTCATTCATTACCTGTTGTT